TGGTAATGTTCATGGCTTGGCAACATCAAATATATAATATCCGAAGCTTCTAGTATCACAACAAAGACATATTACTAATATTATAAATGCCATGTTAGGTTGAATGTTTGCTTGAATCACCGGAACAGCTGTAATTTGGCAAAGATATAACACAGTCTGGAAGAACATATAGGTTACTCATCATCATTATCAGCTCACTATACGTCCGAGGGGCTTGGAGCCTACCCTAAGTTAAGGGTGATTGGGGCATAGTCTACCACGCTGGCCAAGTGCGGGTTGGTTGACTTCACACATATCTTTGAATATCATCTCAGATATGTGAAGGTTGCATTACGATGTTTTCCTTTACCGTAAGAACGTTGGATAAATGTACATATGTAAATCGCAAAACACATTGGTACATGGCGAGATTCGAACTCAGGACCCTCAGATTGCAAGTGCTTGACCCCTGACTCACCGACGCTCTTATAGGTTACTAATTATGTCTTTTTTAACTCTGCGTGGACGGAGTCGGGGGTGACATCTAGTTTTTGATAAAGATGTCGTCGAAGTGATCTCAGAAATTTATTTACTTGATATATATTTTTAGTCTTCAGACTTTGATCCTGTTTTTCATTCACTCGTTCTCTTATCTGTTGATTGGAATAAACATACTTTGAATTGTTTATTGTACATTTCTCTTTGTCTTTATTTCGTACTTGCTGTCGCCCGCGACGCCGTTAGCGAGGAATTAAAAAAAACTTAACAGTCTATGTGCTCCTTCAGACTTTTTTACAAAGTGAAGTGTCAGAATTATTAGAAGGCTAGTGTTGCGCCAGTACACCGGCAGTGTCGGATTTTCTTCCTAACTCTATGCCAAATTTGAGCGTGATCAATGAAGCCGGCTAGATAAATAATTTAGGTTTTGAATTGTGCTTTTTTCTTTCGTAGCTAGTATATACAAAGTGTTATAATTTCTGATGAATAAAACCAAATATAGTGAAGCAAATGTAACGTTCAATATTTCAATATTTTAGTAAATAAAGACTTAAATAATATCTTGAGCGTTATTTTTAATGTGTTCTCGAAATTTACTTTAACTTTTGGTTTTCGTATTCATTTCAAACAAGTGTACTTTGCTTTGTTGAACTCCTCTCGTGGGAAATCAACTTCTGTAACAAATTCTGTTTGAAAGGTCATTTTCGTTTGTACTATGTTCGTAAAGGTCAGTTCGTCAGCTGAGTTTATTCAAAAGAGAACTTTTTTGAACAAACTGAGATATTGTTCAGTGTTCATTTATTTAATTTAGAAATTATACTCTAGAAATCTTATCTTACTAATATTATAAAAGCGAATGTTTAGATGCATGGATAGATGTTTGTTTGAATATATCTCCGGAACGACTCAATGGATGTCGCTGAAATTTGGCATAGATGTAGAATAAATAGGTTACTAATGATTTTTACTTATAATTTAATATAAAAGCAAGTATCAATATAAAACTCTTGCAACAAAGTTATACTTAACAAAATTAGAATCCACGTCTTGTTACGTATAGGTTGAATGTTGTTAGAGACGTTTGCGCTTCTTACGACCATAAACTATTGTAGGGAAATGTTTTCAATGTATATGGTTGATTAATTAAACTTCTTTGTTTCTAATTTATAATCTGTGAAACGTAAGTTTAAATATAAAGATTTAATAATTCGACCTTAAGGTAAACAGGCCAAAGTCAAGCCCAATAGGTCATCAATTGCACAATACGTTTTAAAAGTTATTATGTAAGAAACTGGTTTTCTTGTGAATATGTTATGAACGGAAATTTCTTGCTAGAAATGGTTGTTAATATAAACAAGACAGTTTGCTATACGAAATTTGATCCCAAGTAGGAAGTGTGGTGCCGGAGACCTAATTTAATCCCCTTTCCCTTCCCAGCCTTCTTTTATAAGGAAAGGAATGTTAGTTTTACGGTGGAGGGGACGGATGGCTAGGGGATATATCCTCTTGTGTCGTTCCTCAATAGTTGTCTATGGGCAGCGTTCGCTTTGACATTTCGGCTAATTGTGGCGGCCGTTCCCTGGTTTGCCACCTTATCTTCTGACTCTTACTAATATAATAAATGCGAATATTTAGATGGATGGATGGATGTTTGTTTAAAGGTATCTCCAGAACGGCTCAACGGATCTTGATGAAATTTGGCACATATGTAGAACATAGTCTGGAAGAACACAGGCTACACGAGTCGCGGGCGACAGCTAGTGTATAAAAAAAGCGAATTTAAAACACCGACTGTTAAGTATGCAGAGCTTAATATTTTGTTTTGATGATATGTAGATTTTCTTTGTTATTCCATTTCATTCGTACTGAAACTTATTGCTAATTGTTTTATGTTATGATAGGGAAATTTAAAATATTTAACATTTCATCGTGTTTAATATTATTGAAATTTACTCAGTAAGTAGCATTCTAATTAGTTTCTTTTAAAGTGAATAATTTTTAAATACAATTAATTAATTTATTAATTAATAATTAATTAATTTACAAACAATAATGATACAGTTTTTTGTTAAAAAAAATTCCAATTTCTGGCAATGGCAATGTTTTGCAAATATTTCTTCGACAGAAAAACTGATAGTGCATTGTTTAGAAAACTGTTGCACCTGGCCCGATTCCAAGGGTTTTATTTATCTATCCTCGAAAAAGATGGCCAAACCTTTGCAAATCTGTTGAAGTTATTGGATAGCGTTTTTCAAATTGATTCGCCTCAATCTGTCGTAAGAATTATTTGCCTATTTTTACTGTAAATAAAAAAATATCGGTGTTAATCATCAAAGGAAATAACATTTTCGTGCAGCACGTTGCGCAGGAGTTGATAACGATCGTATGTGTCATTCACGATGTCAATTTTTATATTATAATATATAGAATAATTTAACGCTTTTTAGTAATATTTCGTCACATATTGACAGTGATAATTATAAGATGTCAAGTTAATAAAATTAGTATCGTCGATAGATTACGTTTCTATGTCACATAATGTTATACTAGCTGTCGCCCGCGACTATGTTCTACATCTATGCCAAATTTCAACGACATCCGTTGAGCCGTTCTGGAGATACCTTCAAACAAACATATATCCATCTATCTAAACATTCGCATTTATAATATTAGTAAGATTAATAAGAAGTAAGATCTTATATGTTACAAGCTGTCGCCCGCGACTCCGTCCGCGCGGTATTGAAAATAGATGTTGGCCGATTCTCAGACCTACTCTATATGCTCACAAAATTTCATAAGAATCGGCCAAGCCGTTTCGGAGGAGTATGGGAACGAAAATTGTGACACGAGAATTTTATATATAAGATATCTCTGATTTGAGCTTGTATATAAATTTCAACTATAGTCGAATTTTAATGATACGTCTCGTTTTATTAGTAGTTAAGAAATTATTATTTTTTGTTGCTATTTTATTGATACGGGTCATCGTTTATTTATACGTTATTAGAATGTTTATCGATTCATGTTATTCTGTTTGCTTACGTGTCGTATGAATAAGTAGATGCAGGAAGTTAGATTTCCTGCTCGTTTATGGAGGAGGTATAGAGGTCACTGTCGCAGTTTGTGGTTACGCTCAGCCTTTACTAAGCTTTGAATTTGGCACATCCATTTATTAGTATATGTTGGAGGAAAACAGCGTGATGAAACATGCGTGTATCTGCGAAAAAAAAACAAAGATATGTGTTAAGTCAACCCGCAGTGGGCCAGCTTGGTCGACTATGGCGTAGGCACTTTTAATTTAGGGTAGGTTCCGTGCTTAGTGGGGATGTATAGTGAGCTGATGGTATACCAGTTTACTAGTTTTAGACATAATAAGTTAGAATCCTTTAGCGCGAATGGCGCGCTTTCATTACATAGTCGTGTCAGAATGATTAGTGAGGGGAAATAAACATCGACATTTTAGTAAGGCTAGTGATGTGCCAGTACACCGGAACAGTGTAGGATTTTCTTCCTTATACTAGTGACAAGCTATGGGCTGTTAATTAGCAGGTTCTAAGTAGAAATCTTCGTAAAGAATTTATGTACGATATACCTGTTTTGTAATAGTTGTTGTTATGTGTGTCTACTATCTAAATAACATTACAAAAATACTGTTATTTTTTTTTCTGTTTTCAAGGATAGGATTTGTACAAGTTTTTCCTCTATTTTAGACAATTTACGCAATCAAGTATTCAGTCATAAGTTTGACTATAATACCATGGATACAAGAATAGTAAAAAAACAAATGAGATAAAGTTGTTTTTTCCGTTTGCTAATAGTTTGACCTGGGTATAAAGTTGCTCTATTTTAGCATGAATAATGCTCTATTTCACGTCTGTTTTGTATATTTGTAAACAAGTAGCTTGTGTCCTGTATAATTCAGGTGACCGTCGATATAACGGTTCTTCTTTAAAATAAGTTCGCATTTGCGTCCATCGAATGTATAAAACATCAGATTCTTATCAGACTTCTCTTTTATTATAATTTATACTGCGAGGGATTTGATTTCGACATTGATTTTTTTATTATCTTTAAGGGATTGCCTTTATTTGTGGTCAGTTACGAGTTTCATCTATGTCTACGATAAATCAAATTTATTTAGGTATTGTGTATGTTGAAAATACACAGAATTGTAATCTAAAGACTAGATCACTTCATATAAAAACAAGAAGAGCTTCATGGGACATGAAGCCGACATTGTTTACTAGACGTTAATCTCTTGTCTTTTTTTTGTTCTATAAAATTAAAATATTTAACATTTATTTTGAGTAATGGATGGGAAAGGCAAGTGTATTTGTCAGTGGCGTAGCCCCATGGGTAGGAGAAACATCCTCTTTCTGTGCGTCCTGTCCACCGTCGTTTAAAGGTTGGTAACGTATCTGCAATTGACGATGTCTTTGGGCAGCGGTCACCAGTTTGCCACCTAATAATTGGATTTACAGATCCAAGATATAAAGATATTTATTGTTGTTTAATTGTTACAGATACCAGGTTGTGCGTCGGAAGATGTTCATTGCGTGTGGTACGGCGTGTGTACACAGAAGGAGCCTTCTATATACAACTGTGCCTACAATGGCACTGCGCTGCCCATAGACAATGCATCAATGGTGAGTACCTACCTGTTCCCTAAGCAACACTACGCATTAAGGTATCATTCCACTTGTGAGTGTGCAAGCTTACAATGTTACGGCTAACGAAACTGGTGGAAAACGGATCTTATATATAGAAGAATCACTTGAGCTATCGAGAAAATCGATATACTTAATTAAATAACTTAAATAACAGTAGTTTATTTTTTGTCGAAAAAATGTTATTAATCGTTTATAATTTAATTTAAAATAATTACAACCAATATGGGCACCCCAAGGGCGGTCCAAGTGGGTCACAGGGTGGCGTGCGTCCGAGGCTATATTTAGACGCGATATGCAGTTCTACGTCACTACAGACCCAGTTCTCTTTGAGGAACTAGGAACTTGACCCGGACTCGGTCGAGTTAAAATTAGCATCGACTTCGCCACGATGGTTAAGGTTTATATTGCGAAATTCCAATTTTTTTAATATATTATATTGTTATGTATTCACATTCAATATTTAGTTTAAAAAGGGGATAGATTAGAGAGTTAATTTTCACATGTTTTATTGAAGTGGCGTCGGTGGCTCAGGGGTAAAGCACTTGACTTGCAATCTGCAGGTCCTGGGTTGGAATCCCGCCATGTACAAATGTGTTTTTCTATTTCCGATTTGCATATGTACATTTATTCGATGTTTTTACGGTGAAGGAAAACATCGTGATGCTGCACATATATGAGAAGAAATTCAAAGATATGGGTGACGTCAACCAACCCGCATTTGTCCAGCGTGGCTGACTATGGCCAAATCACCCTTAACTTAGGTTAGGTTCCGAGCCCTTCGGTGGGGACGTATAGTGAGCTGATGATGATGATTGACGTTATTTACTGCTTTCTCTTGATGTATAACGATTTACAACACACATTTAATATCTTTGGAAAAGAGTAACAGTATTCTTTGTCTGCCTTTGTGGGAATGGCACCTCAGGAATGTTAAAGCGTGTGTTAATATATTACTGTATATTTATAATAATAAAAACATAAGTATTCGTCTAGAAAAGCGCTTAGAAGCCCCGACCGAGGTATTATAAGATTGTACGCTTCGTTGGTCTTAAGAATATTATTATTAATATTGTTAGTAACTTCAATTTATGCTAGATTGTTTACTTCTCGGTAAATAATTTTTTCTCCGCAATTTTTTTTCTACCTGAATAAATAATAAAATACTTGTCATCAAAAGGTCATGATTTAACACTTTCCATGCCATTACGATTTTTTGCGTATAAAACTCGCCAGGTACCACAGAACGTGTTGAATTATTTTATAACGCCTATTATGAAATCTCTAAGTTTTGATAAATTAGGAATCTTATTATTAAATACGTCATTATAATTTGCCTAATATCAAATAGAATGTTCTAGAATGAACGTAGAACATTACTTCCTTGCAGTAACGCGGCGAAAGTGGGTCGAGAATTACGAGTGATACGCTCAAGTCAACAATTCGACGTCGACGTTGACGTTCATTGACAGCTCGATTTTTTTTTGTTTATTTGGCTTTTTCAAACAGTAAACATAGAATTTGTTTCGAGACACTCTAAGTTATTATACAAAGCGTGCATCTATTGTACTGTGAACATATTTTCTACACTAATAAATACTTCTGCTTTACGCTTTGGTGGATGCCAGCAAATTAAGGGAGGAAAGGGTCAGCGTCATGTTCAAGTACCAATGTTTGATGTTTATCAAACATGTTATTACCAGTTTTCCCTCATATACTCAATGCATATGTCTCTATCAGCATTCTTATCTGGACTCCCATTTTACACAAATATCCTCTTTCCCATTCATCCATACTTATATTAAAAACTCATCCTTGTTTGTGGTCGTCTACTTCGAAATAAAGTAACGATTAACAAATGCAACGCATCTGCAGTTCCTCTGATGTTGTGGATGTCAATTGGTGTTCACACCGCTCCTTTGCCCCCTTCTCTTATATAAAAAAAAATAGCATGTACGTAGGGGAAGACCAAAGAAAGTATGGATGGATTGTGTGAAAGAAGATATGCGTAAGAAGGGGGCTAGATTTAGATATAACGGCTGATAGAGATGTATGGAGGAGGACATACTGTGCCGAACCTCCGTAGAGATAAGGGCAGGTTGAAGATGTATGTTATAAATTGTTTTAATATTATAAGTAAACGTATCGATTAGTTAAAATTATTTACTTTACACTCGCCGACCGATGACGAATCGTTTTATTTATTAGAAAAATTCACGGAACGTTATCAATGACACAAATGGCTTTGTAAGACGTGACTCAAGCTGACGGTATTTTTCTAACAAAAAAAATATGTTGTCATCAATATTTTGGAGTATTTGTTTTTAAATTAGAAGGTTACATTTTGAAATTCATTACTGTATCCACATTTAGGTATATAGTCGGGGGGGGGGTGTATATTTTACAAAGGCATTTAGTGTAATTTTTTCTTTTTTCCTTCCTTTAATTCTATCTATGTTTTTTTAAACTCGTTTAAAATATATATGAACTAGCTGTCGCGCGGAATAAAAAAAGCTTAGTAAGAAAAAAAATAAGATAGATAAGAGAACGAGTTTATTAAAAACTGGATCAAAGTTTGAAGACTAAAAATATATATTAAATATAATAATTTCTGTGATTACTTCGACATCTTTATCAATAACTAGCTGTCGCCCGCAACTTCGTCCGCAATTATTATAAAACAGACAATTAGTATCCTATGTGTTCTTTCAGACTTTGTTTTACATATGTGATAAATTTCATGAAGATCCGTTGAGCCGTTCCGAAGATACCTTCAAACAAACATTTTTTTTTATAACAAAAGGGGGCAAACGAGCAGCAGGAACACCGAGGTGTTCAACGACACCCATGGACATCAGCATTACTAGAGGAACCGCAGATGCGTTGCCGGCCTTTGAGATGGTGATAATACATCCATCCATTTAATATATTAATAAAATTAAGATTACGATTCGTAATGTTACAACTAATTAGTACTACGTATGACCACATATCTAATTTTGGTTATGTGATTAAAATGGAAAAGTTAAAAATATTTAAAACCGGTTTAATTGACAACTGTGGCTTAAATATAAAACTATAGTTTATTCCTGCGTTTTTCCTTACCACCGAACATGATAAATAAATTTTATCAAAAAAAATAATTTTAGTTTTATTCGGTTTTAATTTTTTTTATGTATAAAATATCTTTTGTAACATCGTTAAGACAATGACTCAATACTTTGAACTTGTTTCCTTAATCACCTAAGACATGTACTAGTTTCGTTTTATGGCGACACATTTTATCAAATTATATTTTTTTGTAAGCTCCTTTAATTAACTTACCAAACCATCGGTGGCTCAGGGGCAAGCACTTGACTTGAAATCTGCAGGTCCTGGGTTCGAATCCCGCCATGTACCAATGTGTTTTTCTATTTCCGATTTACAAATATAGTGTATGTGAAGGAAAACATCGTGATGCTGCACATATCTGAGAAGAAATTCAATGATATGTGTGAAGTCAACCAAACCGCACTTACCCAGCGTGGTTGATTATGGCCTAGTCACCCGTGTCTTAGGGTAGGCCCCTCGGTGGGGACGTATAGTGAGCTGATGATGATGAAGTTAATTAGTAGCCTACTTTATCAAGATCAAACAGCTATTCATCCAACATCCATCCATGTAAACATTCGCATTTATAATATTAGTAAGAAATAAGATTAAAAAATGTGTTATTCCAGACTATCTTCTACGTCTGTACTATGTTTCATAAGATCCGTTGAGTCGTTCTGAAGATATCTTGTAATATCCATCCATCCTACCAAATTTTATAATTTTAGTATCATGTTTAAGCAGTGGTATTATATTCGCGGGGACATGTTTAAAGCTTGAAACATTAGTAAACTATCATCATCATGATATTCAGCCCTAATTCGTCCACTGCTGAACGTAGGCCTCCTCCATCGATTGCCACAATGCCCGGTCCTGTGCCGTCCGCATCCAGTGCACTCGCGCAACCTTGAACAGGTCAATCCGTCCATCGTGCGGGAGTCCTACCTACGCTGCGTCGACCCGTCCGCGGCTGCCACTCTAGGACTTTTCGGCCCCATCGGCCGTCCGTCCTTAGTAAACTATACCAAAGTATATTAGCCATTTCATTAGTAAATAAAAAAAATACTTCTTTACTTTGTTCCATGTTACATATACATCGGAAGTATTTATGGCAATGTTTCATAGAGCTAAATATAATTGTTATTATTAATTTCCAGAGGCGTAGTTCAATATATATATAATGCTTGTCGAATTTGTTGTTGCGCTACAATTTGGCATTGGGCCCTATGTGCGTCATGATTGTATACCATATCTTGTTTAGTGTTAGATTTGTAGCTAGCTGTTTTTATTGCTTAAATATTTCTATAACGTTGTCTCTTTCCTTTTTGTTGGATAAACTGAGATAACAATAGTCGTTGTGTTTCGTCTATGAGTTTACGGATTCATTTGTTAGTCATCCATTAGACAGATGTATACACTTAGGAATCCCTTAGTAACTATTAAAATGAGTATTGCAGTTTAGTGACGTGACTTCTTGTCTTTCGAATCTTGTTCTTACGCAGTTTTGTACTGAATCACAATTGAAGGAAGGACATAATAATTACAATGACATTTTAACGATGACTGAGTTATTTGAAATGCCAATTAACACGTTGTTCCTTCGAGTTGCCTTGCCTTTGACCATCTGCCATTGACCTATAATTGAAAGTGGTTATGCTCTATGTATGTTTCATGTTTTTTATGATGAGGTATATTTAATATGATGGTTATTTTGAGCCAATAAATCTTTAGTTCTGCAAGAGATTTTCTAAATTAGTTTTAGAATTAAACAAAAATAATAAGTAGCCTATGGGTTCCTCGTGACTATGTTCTACATGTATGCCAAATTTCATCGAGATCCATTGCGCCGTTCCGGAGATAGTTTCAAACAAACATTCGCATTTATAATA